TATGTAGCGCCACAAAAGGGACACAGGAAGTGACGTATAACGCCATCAAGCAGCGTCTGAAGCGCGTAGCAAATTCACAGCCACACCGGCGGAGCTCCAGATTATGCAGTGCGTCGGGGCGTGAGGCTGCCGTGCTGCATATTCTGGAGCTCCGAGGGCCCGCCCAATGCTGCTTACAGCTTTAATTTTCTTTCTTTTTTTTGGCAAAGTAACCTCAGTTTTAGGGGCCTAATCATACTCGAAAACTCAAACTTTGCACAAAATTCAGACGTGGCGAAAAATGATATATTTTATGGGTTTTGCGCATGGGCGTGGCAAAATGGCTCGCTAGCGCCACGTACAGAGCAGCCCTAAGTTCCTAAGGCACAGGAAGTTGTCATAACTTCAGTGTGCATGCTCAGATCTGCACCAAACTGTACATGTAGGATGAGAGTCCTGCCCTGAACACATCCGTATGCCAACAAACACACAATGTCATAGCAAAACTTTTGGAGTAAAAAAAGCCTCTTGGAGCCGTACCTGAAATCAGACAGGAAGTCAGCTCTTTTGATTTGAATGTGCAATTACAGCCCATTTATGGCCTTTTACAAGGTCCGTACTTTAACAAACTCCTCCTAGGAAATTAATCGGATCAACTTAAATGTTCTACTGGGCATTCTAAAGGCATTGATGATGAAAGTTGTGCTATCTGTGAGTTTTTGTTCACTCAACGTCATAGCGCCACCTGCTGGTACCAGGAAGTAAGCCGTTTCTGACAAAACGTGGCCGCCTCACACCCTGACGTGCAGCTTTAACACTGCTTGCAGCTTTAATTTGAGTTTATTATTTTGTGGAATTTATTCAGCTAAAAAAGCAATTCAGTAAACAATCATCCTCCACACTGAATGAAGAGAAGGTCTGCCTACATAGTGAGTATGAAGGGGCGGTGTTCATGAGTGGTGGAACCTGAGAGGTGCAGGTTGTCACAAGAAGAAACACTGAATCCTGCATCTTTGTGAGAACTGTGCCATGCAATGTGTTGGCCCAGACCTTTGCCATTGGCCCTGAAACAAGACTGCCAGACTGGCCAGGAAACCTTATCCACTCATCCAACGAAGGTTAAAATCAAGGGCAACTGGACTTGGTTGAAGATACTGGAAGACGTTTCGTCCCTCATCCAAAGGACTTCTTCAGTTCTGACTGACTGGCAGGGAAACTCAGCTATTTAAGATGTCCATGAAGATTCTCAGTCATCCAGGTCATAGTTATCTAACGAAGGTTAAAATCAAGGGCAACTGGATCTTCCAAGTAACTTCCAGTGTCTTCAACTAAGTCCAGTTGCCCTTGATTTTAACCTTCGTTGGATCAGCTATTTAACCTCAGTGGGGTCGTTATCCCGGGTCATCGATACCGCTGGTTCGTTAGTGTTCCTTGTTGCTGTGACGACAGTCGTTACAGTCGTTAAGACTACCTGAGGCCAAGACTGAACGACCATCGTTGGTATCTTCACCTGAGGCCAATAGGTTACGTTTGTTGAGTTTCCTGGGAAGTGATGAAAGGACAGCATTGTAAGTGGGGGATAAGTGGTGGCGTAGACCCCCTCCCCTGTTCAATGACGGCTTCTCCACCCTGGTGTAGATGCTTCCTTGACACCTCTTTCAAACCATCCATCTTCTCTGTCTAAAATGTGCACCTGGTGGTCCTCAAACGAGTGTCCTCTGTCCTTCAGATGTAAGTAGACAGCAGAGTCTTGACCTGAGGAGTTGGCCCTTCTGTGTTGAGCCATGCGTTTGTGTAGTGGTTGTTTAGTCTCCCCAATATACAGGTCTGTGCATTCCTCACTGCATTGGACCGCATACACTAGATTGCTTTTCTTGTGTTTGGGTGTGCGGTCTTTGGGGTGGACCAGCATCTGTCTTAGTGTGTTCTTGGGTTTAAAAAACACAGGGATGTTGTGTTTGTTGAAAATCCTCCTGAGTTTCTCTGATACTCCAGACACGTATGGAATCACAATGTTGTTGCGTTTGACCTTCTTTTCCTCCCCTGTAGTTTTGTTCTTCTTGGATCTTGTGGCTGTTTTCACAAAGGTCCATTTAGGGTATCCACAGGCTGTAAGTGCCCCCTTCAGGTGGTTCTGTTCCTTCTCTCTGGCTTGGGCGCTTGTTGGTATGTTTTCCGCTCTGTGGTGCAGTGTTCTCATGACCCCTAGCTTGTGCTCCAGTGGGTGGTGGGAATCGAACAGTAGGTATTGGTCTGTGTGTGTGGGTTTTCTGTAAACACCAATCTGCAGGCTCCTGTCCTCTTCAATGTGTACAGCGCAGTCCAGAAAGGCCAAACTGTTGTTATGAACATCTTCTCGTGTGAACTTGATGTTACTGTCCACAGAGTTGATGTGTTCTGTGAAGGCTTGCACTTCCTGGCTTTTAATTTTGACCCAGGTGTCGTCCACATATCTGTACCAGTGGCTCGGTGCTGTTCCTCTGAAGGAGTTGAGGGCTTTATTCTCCACTTCTTCCATGTAGATGTTTGCCACAATCGGTGATACCGGTGATCCCATGGCACAGCCATGCTTCTGTCTGTAGAATCCACCGTTGTACTGGAAGTAGGTGGTGTTTAGACAGAGGTAAGAGTAATTTACAGATTTGGTCAGGGCTGAGGCTAGTTCTGTTGTCCAGGGTGTTGTCTTGTGTTAGCCGTTTCCTGATGGTTTCTACTGTCTACTGGGATGCAGGTGAACAAAGAAGTCACATCATAGGATACCATGGTTTCATCTGGATCCAGTTTTAGTCCTTGAACTCAAAGTCAATAGAGTTTTTGACGTGGTGAGGCGTGTTTCCCACCAAAGGAGCTAAGATGGTGGAAATGTGTTTGGCAATGTTGTAGGTGACCGAGTTAATGCTGCTGATAATCGGCCTGAGTGGGGCTCCTTCTTTGTGTATCTTGGGTAGTCCATAAATGCATGGAATGGCTTCTCCAGGATACAAACGGTAATATTGTTCACGGGTGATGGTGCTGTCCTTCTGTAACTGTTGTAGACATTCTATGGCCTTTTTCTTGTATCCGCTGGTTGGGTCTCGTCTCAATGTCTCATACATGCTTGTGTCCATTAGTAGTGTGTTGACTTTGTTCTGGTAGTCGGCTGTGTTAAGTACTACCTTATCCACTCAGGTACCAACTCAAGCAGTCACCTCGGAGCATGACTACCCCTCAAGCTGCACTCGGCCTGAACCCTACTCACAACGGCAAAAAAAAAACACTGGGAGTATCTCATCTCTGCCAGTGCTTCAAAACAGTAGGCTGAACAATGTTTTTTGCTGTAACAAAGAATTGATGTCAAACTAAATATATTAATTCCTATTTAGACAAGTGCCCTAGCGTTACATTAGCATCTTACCACTGTCACCATCAGAGGACATACTTCACTGACACCAATAAGATCAGGTTTATTTCATCACAATATCTGCTATTCATCTGTTATGTTCCTTCTGAGTCCTTTATTTATTCTGTTATTCAGTATTTAGCTAAACTAAATATCCTCATTTAATCCGCAAGAACTTGTCTGTGTGTTTTCATTGTAGTAGAAGACAAGGTCAATCTACTGATCGATTTAATAATTGGGTTTTGATTAATTTGCTTTAATTAACCTGTTATTAAAGTGGTGCCCCAGCAAGTGTTTAATAAAGTGTTTTTTAAATGAGACAGTTCAAAATCCAACACATTCTCACTCCTGACTCGTCACATATTGATGCTTGGTCAAGGCCCTTTGGTCTCGCTTGAAAACGTCCTGGGTACCCCTTTACTGTCATTTTTAGACGTTTAGAGCTCCACGTCAAGTTAGCAACGCTTAGTAACAGCAAATATGCAATGTCCTGTTAGACTAAACTAAAACGCTAGCGTTTTGAAACATCGCCATTTTGAAACGGCACGTTAAAGTTATGAAACATTTTTTTTGTGCACAAAAAGTACTTGGTTAGGTTTAGGCAACAAAACTACTTGGTTAAGGTTAGGAAAATATCATGTTTTGGGTTAAAATAACTACGTACATCAGTTAACACGCAAGTAAGTTACGTCAATTCCGTAAGTCAAATAAAAAAATTTAATGTTGACTTTGTTTCCCACAGAACGCAAACACTGATCTCCTTTTTTAAAGTCTGGGTTCTGGCCCTACAGGGCTTCTCCCACTGCTTTGAACTATGACGCTACAGGGATCCCCAGTGCGTTACAAACTGACGCCGAAGTGGCTTGACCAAATGTCCATATGTGATGAGTCGGGGAGTGAGAATGGATTGCCAAATCTGATCTAACCAAACTGCATGAATTATTATCATTGTTCCTTGCAGACCTCCTACACAAATATCACATTTTTATGTTTAACCAGTGTTTCTCTTCGGATCAAAGAAAAAAGGTTTCCTACAAGTGTGAAGGACCTCTTCTGTCAGACTTTGGCTGCAGCAGGCCTCTTCATACCTGAAAGTGTCCAGTCTCCAGTGAGGATCCTCCAGACAGCAGCTTCACTCCTGAGTCTCCTGGATGATTGTAGCTCAGGTCCAGCTCTCTCAGATGGGAGGAATGGCCAGAGAAACACAGCCTTCCTCTGTAATCAGACAGCCTGACAGCCTGAAAACACAAAAAACAACACACATGGCAGATCATCTGAGGAACCTGCTGTGCTGGTTAGATACAGGAGTAAACTGTCTCCAAATACATAGTTAAATCTAGACTGTTCACATTTAGCATTAACGTTTGGCAGGTAAAATGTCAGTTGCTAATTTAGTAATTAAAAGTAAACATAAAGTAAAACTGAGGCTGATGAATGTCATTAGTTCTGCAGGTATTTGGTCATATACCAAAGTATTGGACAAATTAAATTGTTGACCTGATGATGGCGCTAGACGAAAAGTCAGAGGACCAAGACATTAACTTTTAGCACAAACAAAACAAAAATGTGACTTCAAAATAAAGAATAAGAAAACATAACATTTTCAATAGTCATCAGTTGAACGGGCTTACGGAATCCTGACCTGAGCATTTTTAGTGTACAGTGTGGACTCTCCAGTCCAACGGACAGCTGCTTTACTCCTGAATCCTGCAGGTTGTTGTTACTCAAGTCCAGCTCTCTCAGACTAGAGGACTGGGAGCTGAGAACTGTGGACAGAGCTTCACAGCTTCTCTCTGAGAGGTTACAGCCACTCAGTCTGGAGAGACAGTAGTAAAAGTTTTTTTTTAATTTTTTAAGTTTTGAATGATGAATTAATCCCACTTACAGAGCTTTCTTGGAGGCTTTGACCACTGGCAGCAGCCTCAGAAGAGCCTCCTCTGAAGCAGAGTATTTCTTCAGGTCAAACACCTCCAGATCTTTTTCTGATGACAGTAAGATGAAGACCAGAGCTGACCACTGAGCAGGAGAGAGTTTATCTGTGGAGAGACTTCCTGAACTCAGGGACTGTTGGATCTGATCCACTAGAGAACCATCCTTCAGTTCATTCAGACAGTGGAACAAATTGATGATTTTCTCTGCAGAGGGAGTCTCTTCGATCTTCTTCTTGATGTACTCGACTGCTACCTGGTTGGTTTCTGAGCCACTTCCTGTCTGTGTCTGCAGGCCTCGTAGAAGATTCTGATTGGTCTGCAGTGAAAGTCCCAGGAGGAAGCGAAAGAACAAGTCCAGGTGTCCATTTGGACTCTGTAAGGCCTTGTCCACAGCACTCTGGTAGAGATATTTTGATTTGTCTCCAAACAGTTTAGACCACCGGGAGGTTGATTGTTCTTCTGCCAACAGATTGACACCAGAGTTGATGAAGGTCAGATGGACATGAAGAGCAGCCAGAAACTCCTGAACGCTCAGATGGACGAAGCAGAACACCTTGTCCTGGTACAGCCCTCTCTCCTCTTTAAAGATCTGTGTGAACACTCCTGAGTACACTGAGGCTGCTCTGATATCGATGCCACACTCTGTCAGGTCTGATTCATAGAAGATCAGGTTGCCTTTCTGCAGCTGCTCAAAAGCCAGTTTTCCCAGAGACTCAATCATCTTCCTGCTCTCTGGAGTCCAGTGTGGATCTGTCTCAGATCCTCCATCATACTTGGTTTTCTTCAGTTTGGACTGAACCACCAGGAAGTGGATGTACATCTCAGTCAGGGTCTTGGGCAGCTCTCCTCCCTCTCTGGTCTTCAACACCTCCTCCAGAACTGTAGCAGTGATCCAGCAGAAGACTGGGATGTGGCACATGATGTGGAGGCTTCGTGATGTCTTGATGTGGGAGATGATTCTGCTGGCCTGCTCCTCATCTCTGAACCTCTTCCTGAAGTACTCCTCCTTCTGTGGGTCAGTGAACCCTCTGATCTCTGTCACCATGTCAACAAACTCAGAAGGGATCTGATTGGCTGCTGCAGGTCGTGTGGTTATCCAGAGGCGAGCGGAGGGAAGCAGCTTCCCCCTGATGAGGTTTGTCAGCAGCACATCCACTGAGGTGGACTCTGTGACATCAGTCAGGACCTCATTGTTGTGGAAGTCCAGAGGAAGTCGACACTCATCCAGACCGTCAAAGATGAAGACAACCTGGAACTCTTCAAACCTGCAGATTCCTGCTTCTTTGGTTTCAGGAAAGAAGTGATGAACAAGTTCCACCAAGCTGTACTTTTCTCTTTCAGCACATTCAGCTCTCTGAAAGTGAATGGAAATGTGAACTGTATGTCCTGGTTGGCTTTGTCTTCAGCCCAGTCCAGAGTGAACTTCTGTGTTAAGACTGTTTTCCCAATGCCAGCCACTCCCTTTGTCATCACTGTTCTGATTGGTTCATCTCTTCCAGGTGAGGCTTTAAAGATGTCTTCTTGTCTGATGGTTGTTTCTGGTCTGTCTGGTTTCCTGGATGCTGTTTCAATCTGTCTGACCTCATGTTCATCATTGACCTCTGCAGTCCCTCCCTCTGTGATGTAGAGCTCTGTGTAGATCTGGTTCAGGAGGGTTGGGTTTCCTGCTTTAGCAATCCCCTCAAACACACACTGGAACTTCTTCTCCAACTTAGATTTAAGTTCACGCTGACAATCTGCATCGGGATTTCCTGAATGAACACACAACAAAGATCATCAGGGTTGGCAGTTAGTGTGTCTTGATGAACCAGGCTCATCTTCGTAATGCCCCCCAATAATTTGCCCCCCTTTAGGCTTGAATGTCGTTTCTGACTTTAAAACCCGCAGATACTCTGAAGCTGCTTTCTGAAGCTGCTTCGACCAACTCTGATCAGGTTCTGCTGTCTTTCACTTAGGTATAATGAAGTTAAAACTTCTCACAGAGAATGTGAAACTTATTTACACTTAATGTTTTTAGATTAAAAACTACACTTTGTCTTCCTTGTGTAACTGAAAATAAAGCAGCATTTCACACACACAAGATAACGGTTTTGGCTGCTGGCAAGAAAACCATCACATGAGAATGATCCTAAACATCTCATAGCAAACTTTTATCACACTTTATTGCAGTCCTTTATTTTGATAGCAAATGTTACCGCAGTATTTACAAAAGCTCATACATTTTGATAGCATTGATGCATTTCTGATGCAGGAAACTACTTATTTATTTTAAATCCATCAACATGTCAAACTTACCTGCATGTCATCAGGACATCTCATTGGTTATTTACTCAAAGCATTAAATACCACACTAACAATAAAACCATCCACATTACTCAGTGACATTAATCTCAGTGTCTCAAATCAAGGAGGAAATAAAAGAGAATCAAGCAGCGGCATCATGCCTCTGTCCTCTCAGTCAATAATGATTGATAACTTTCAACCTTTTCTCATAATGAGATCAGGCCTCAAATTTTATCATGTCGCCCGTATTAACTGCAAAATGTAAAACTCTAACCCTCTGGTCCTGAGCTGGTTTTTGGCAGTTTCTGCAGCAGGTCGTTCCTGGGTATCTCCTCTAAGACCTTCTTGGTCACCTTCAGAGCTCCATGAAGATTATAGGCGTTCACCATTAGATCCACAGTGTCCTGCCTTTCTGCCTTTTTCAGCTTAAACACTTTGATGGTTCCCTTCCATTCTTCCAGGATGTCAGGCTGCTTTAGATACCATTTGAACTTTGTGAATTCTTCATCACTTAAATCCTCCAGAGTCTTCAAAAGGTCCTTTGCCGTCATCGTGTCTCCCTGTTAAAGTCAGGCAGTAATTTTACCTGAAGGAAAACAGTAACATAAATGTTTCAGAGCTGTGTTTGTCGTTTGTAGTATTTGTGGGCTGAGTCAGGCCAGTCAGAGCTCCTGCTTGCTGCTCTGTGGAAGTGGCACAATGCTTACACTTCATTCAAATAAAGAGATCCATCTTTGAGTTAAATGAGAATCAGAAATACTTATAGCTATATAATACTTTATATAAAGCACCACGAAACGGAAAATGTTAGCAGGATGCCAATAAATTGACAGATTCATTCAATCATTCATTCATTAGAACAGGTTTTAGTTCTTGAAATGAAAGCTAGCTGTTGTCTTTAGCCATGCAGCACAGCTCACAACACCAAAAAAAAAAAACACCGCTAAGGCTGATGGGGATGAATATGTCTCTGATTGGTTGTTGTTCGTGTAATTTTGAGAGAAAACCAGCTGATCAGGTTTCAGTCAGAATAAAAAGGACTCAGGCTCTCAGACCAGTTCTGACTCTCCCACATGTCTCAGCAGTGAAGTCAGCTCAGACTCAAATCTAACTGGTTTCCTGCTACTGATTCAATCGGACTAAACTCAACATGAAAAGCCTAATTTTGGCCAAAAACTCACAGATCAGAGAATAATTAGTGAATGAATTCATGAATATTCAGATCTAGAACAGTAAATACCAGAGATGGAAGAATGAAGAGAATTTCTTCCAAAGTGTGTCATGTTACCGGTCAGGTTCTTACCTGTTAAAGTCCCGTCCAGATGAGGTCAGAGAGACTTTCTACCTTCACCTGCAGACACTGACAGATGCTGATGGTGTCTGTGTTCGTCTGACCGACAGCTGTCACACCCTCATACCTTCAAATCCAAATCCAGAAGCGTCAGGATGACCTGAGTGCAGTGCTGCCAGTGAGAAGCTGGTGGTAGTGTCAAAGAAGGTCTGCAGTCTGATAGAAGAGTTTTCAGAGCAGCTTCAGACACTGACATCCACAACCTGCAAAAACACTGCAGCAGAAGAAGAAGAACAGGTTAGTTACTGAATGAGGGAGAACAGTCTGTAAACTCACGACAACATGTGACAAACATGTTGCAGGAAATACTGTTGTATTTTAACATTTTATTTTCCTTCACCCATTCTGCTCAGTGGTTTATATAAGAACCACGGCAGCTCAAAGTAAAAGGTCCTCGCCTGGAACACCTTTCCAAGAAAACTGGACTTGTTGTGCACCAAGAAATGTACAAAAACCACATTCTCAACTACAAGGACAATCTTTCAATAGTCAAATCCACCTATTATGCAGGCATAATTAGTTCAGGCGAAGAAAACACCAGATCCCTGTCAAACGGTGTTGCCATGGCAATGCATGATTTGCCACGAAACAGGAAGCTGTATTTTGAGAGGCTTAGGATGCTTGAAATCTCACAAAACCTTGCACAGACATCAGAATGGGTGTGCTCTGTTGTCTGATACTGTTCAAGGGCATGTGTTTGGAAAAACGTCTCTATAGCAGCCCCTGCAAGATTTCAAAGTAGCAACCCCAGTTGTCTGATACACCTAGAGCTATCAAATTTTGTATGCACGTGTACAATGCCAGGACTTAAGTCTCTTGGAGCCATATGCTAAACCCAACAGGAAGTCGTCCATATTGCATAGGTTGTCTGATCTACCCTCATTTATAGCTCCCACACTTTAACGAACTTGTCCAACAGCTTTAACCCAATCGACTTCAAATGTGGGCAGCACGACCTTAACGGCCTTGCAATTTGAAATTGCAAAGCTTTTTTGATTGATCAAACAGTGTGGCCATGGCGTGGCGTTCAATTCTGATGATTCGCCATGAAAAAGGAAGTAGCGTGTAAATAGACTGGACATGGCCAGATCTGTCCCAAAATCACATGTCAATTCCTAACTAATGGCATCAGGAAAGGACGTTTCAAACGTTTGGTTCCTTTCTTTTATTTATACCTTTTGGTAACTTAGGGACAAAAATGTCCCTATTGAGGTATTGAGAACACAATCATTCATCACATAGCACCTTAGGTACAAAAATGTCCACAGTGAGGTTCAGTGAAGATCTGCAGGAAAGCCATAATGCTTTAATGATGTTACATTGTGAAACTTCTGAGTTCTTATCAAATGCCAACACATTTTTATCTCAATGTGTCACAACTGACACTTTCAGACTGTGTGACAAAGCATAAGGATTTTATACTAAAGGTACCCTTCAGTGTCTGTATGAACCTCCACCCCCCCTCCCGTTTGCTACGTTGCAGCAACACAAGGAAGGCTAGCCTCTCTCGCCTACTAGTACAGCCATTCTGGTTCACACAATGGTCACCTCCCGCATTGATTATTGTAATTCTCTTCCTGTTGGTCTTCCTCTCAAATGCATATAGAAACTTCAACTGGTTCACAACTCTACTGCTCGTATCATCACCAGAACCCCTTCTATTAATCAAAAAACCTCAGCAGCTTCATTTGCTCCCAGTTAAATACCGCATTGATTTCAAGACTCTGACCTTCAAGGCCATTCACAACCTCGCCTCTGTCCCTCACTGACCTCCTTCATATTAACACACCCACTCGTACTCTTAGGTCTTCTTCTTGTACTCACCTCACTGTACCTCCTGTTCGTTTGACCACCACGGTCGGTTCTTCTACACGTGCTGGTGTTTCAGGGAAGAAATTTGCATTAAAAAGTAATGGACGGGCCACACAACACTATCCTGCAGTGCCAGCCGTGACGTGTGTGTCACGTAACGTTAAATGACTTGCACACGGACATTTAGCTTACTTTACAGTTCAACAAGACAGTTGTTATGATGCTAGCTGTAATGTTAGCAGCAGGAGAGCTGTGAGTGTCGCTGTCAGGAGCTGCTGTTCTGCTCTGGTCTCGTCCTCTCTTAACGTTACAGCAGCAAATAGTGTCACTTTGCTAATCCACAACCCATTAGTTACATTACTCACTGTGTCGTTGTTCACTCTGGGATGGTATTTTTCATGGTGTTGGGTTTCTCCAGAATAACTTACTCCACCCTTATGAATTTTTGCCATATCGCACAGCCGTACTGCACATATGGATTGTGTAAATTAGTAAAGTCAGGAAACAAAGTCAGTTGCATTAGGCAGACCAACCTGATGGAACTGCGTCCTCCTGGTACAAATACAAAGTAGGCTAGAACCCCTCAAAGGTTTCTGGCAGCCAGCTGTTAGCAGTGGGAGTTAGCCGACAGGTGTGTCTGGTGTGATCAACAATAGATAAAGTTTACCTGTCTGCTTAAAGCCCCTTTTGGAAATAATAATATACTATTAAACTCTCTGCATCAAACAATTTGTATTTCTAACTTCCACCTCACAAGCACCTCCATTTCTGCAGCAGAGAACTATTTTTTCACCATCTCCCTCTCTGTTGTTGATTAACTGTATAAAACTTTAGTAGAAATTTAGTAGTTGGTACCACTACCAGTGAAATTCCACGATTCTCTATACCCAACCCAATACTACGGTAAAGGACAATATAATAAATCTCATGTACTTCAACATGAACTCCTTTAATAAAAACATTTAACCTTACAAAGAACAACTTAAAGCTGTGACAGGATGTCCTGAACAGATGAGTGGTTTACTGTCAATGTATTTCCCCCCCACCCCCCACCCCCACAAACTCTCAGGTTTGTAATGTTTCAGGGTGGTCACTATTTCTATGTTGAAAAACAAACAGTTATCGATGATTGAAATGGATCGTATTGACCTTTTCAGACGGTGCCTAACTCCTCCTACAGCAACAGGTGAATTGGACAGACATTTAGCTATTAGCGCAACAAACTGCATCATTATCAGTGGTGATTTTGAGTTGATCAAACTGTGAAACATCTGCCTACATTAGTTCTCCAACATATCCGAAAACTGGGAGAAGTCCAGGCTTTGAAACGGAGCTGTTTAAGTAAACAGCCAAGAAAACCGACAAATGTTAAATATTAAAATAACTTCACCCGGTTTCCAAACACGTCTCTTGCGGTTTTTCTTTTTGACAAGTTGAGGTGAAGCTGACGCTGGACTTGACGCCATCTTTCACCAGTACCTACAGTACGGTACTAGAAAAACTAGTCGTGTTTTCAGAATTCTGGCATGGACTTGGTACTAAAGTTTTGCTTCTAGTGACTTCCATAGTCCGTAATTGTTTAGACACAGGAATCATGATTCCTTGAACATAAGAAAATCTGAACAGCCAAAGAACAGTTTTTGAACTTAAACATGCTTAATTGACTGAAGTTGAAAAAACATTTTTGGGGAAATTGAGTCACCACTTATTTCTAGAAACAAGAGGTTACTCAACATCCCCACAGGCTCAAAGCAGAAGTGGAAAGGAGCAGAAAAATGAAGAGAAAATACTTTCAGGTTGTACATAAGTACAGTACTGGAGTACTTAATTACTTTTCACTACTGTGAAAAATATTAAAGATGATTGTAATTGTAATTTAATTGTAATTTGATTATTCACTTACATTCAGATTTAAGTTCAAACTGATGTAAAGAAGTTCAAGGTCTCTGTGAAGAAGCTACTGAGCCTTCAGAAAGATGGGAGGCCCCTTCTGCCTCCAGACTGTCCACATTAGTCCTGCAGGTAAATCTACTGACAGCAATTACCGACGCTAACAGCTGTTCTTCAGTGGCTGTCTGGCCGAGCGAAGCCACAGTTAGTGGCTCAGACAGCGGGAGAGCAGCGGCTTGTCTCCGCCTCCTCCACAGGCTTCTTTCAGGAAAAGCTGCCTTCAGTCATCAGTAAGTGGAGCTACACAGTGACTTATTGTTTAACTCCTGAGGACCAATTGACTTCACTGCTGCTCTTATTCCACCGCTTACAGCCCAAATATCCACAACATGGAGGAGTTCCTCCTGTTAGTTTAGTTTGTTAATCAAAGTTAAGAGTTACTTTAACAACTTGTTTTTACTGCAACAATCTAACAGCAGTTAGCAACAAGACAAGCAAAGAGTCATTAAAGAGTCAAACATGTCAGTTACGTTACCTTCACACGGAGAAGAGAAGCTGCTCCATGAAGAAAGAGGAAGGGAAGTAAAGTTTGAACAGGAAACAGGCTGAGCTCAGCCTGTTCATAAGAAACGTTACCATGGTAACTCTCTTCTTTCCACGTCATTAAACAACTATACTGATGTGTTCAACACAAACAGTCATCCGGATGGAACTGGACTGTTAATGGGAGAAACTAGCACAAATACGCATATTTGCTAACCTGTAGCCTGCTTCTGCTCAATGAATGAAGCCAAGCAGGCTTGAGCTTGGCTAGGACATGGATGGGATACCTCCTGGGTATACAAAGTTGCTCCTGGAAGAGGTGTTGAGGGGGGTGGTTGTCCCTCAGGCCCTAATAATATAGCTGACTTGAAAGTCAAACATGAGCTACAGGGGCGAGGTATAAAAAATTACACTGTCAAGTTGGACACATTCTACGTTGGTCGCTGTGGGTCAGGTGGGACAGTGGGTTGCCTGTTAATAGGAAGGCCAGCGGTTCAATCTCCGGCTCCTCCAGGTTGCATGTTGAAGTGTCCTTTAGCAAGATACTGAACCCTGAATTGCCCCAGTGTGTCATGCGATGCATGTGGTGAGGCAGGAGGTAGGTGGACTCAAATGCAGACTCGGAAACAGGCAGGTACAGTTCAAAGGGTTTAATCCAACAAAAAGAGAGTACACTTACAATGTAGTGGCTGAATCCAGAGAATCCAAACAAAAGATAAACAGAAAATCCAGAGAAACGAGTAATGATCTTTAATCCACAGAACAAAAGAAGTACAGGCAGGCAAGACAAATAGCAACCATAACACACTGCAGAGCATCTGAACACAACAATGACCGGACAGGGAATGAACAGAAACACCAAACATTTATACACAGGGGTTAACGAGCAGGGCGGGAGCAACACAGGTGACTGGGATCAGTGTTAACGAGACACAGAGACAGCAGGGAAGACAGAGACACCAATAAACTAACAGGGAAAAACAGACTGAACTAAGATACTACAGATACTAAGAAAACATGTGAATGAATAAAGGACTAGACTACAAAACCTAAACATGACAAGATCAAATAAAGCTATAGGAACACAGAATCCAAAAACAGGAAAGACATAACACAAAACCACACTCCTAACAGAGTGTGTGAATGTTGGCCTCTGTTTGAGCACTGAGGCTCAGTGTGTGAATGGTGAATGTGAGTGTAGTGTAAAAGTGCTGCGGTGCATTACCCAGGTGGGTGCCACCAAAGTCGTTATAAGCAAATCATGCCATTCGGCAGCCATCTTGGCAACAGACTCCGGGCAGCTATTTTGGACTAACAAGACCAGGCTCCTATCTGAATGAATGGGCAGAGAGCCAGAACTGCACTTTAACTGGTCCCTGGGACAGAAACATGAGTAGAATCAGCAGTAAAATCTAATAAAAATCGCTGAAAACGTTTCAAGCCGACCGTTTATATCACTACTGCGCATGCATAGAAGAAGTAACTCGTTAAGCAGACCCCTTACGTCAGTGAAACCAAACTGTCTGACATAAGTTTGGCTTTCTAGCGGGAGGATCAGGATAACTGCCATCTTTGGCATTTCAGGCTTTCCCCATAGAGTTGTATTGAGGATTGTTAAAGTCTGTGGCGCCACACATTGGTGGTGGTTGAGATGAGCCCCCCCCCCCCCACCTTCTTTCTAAAGCACCTTGAGTTTCCATGATAAAGCGCTATATAAATGTAATGCATTATTTTTATTAGAAATACTGATGCTCATACTGTTATGGACTGTCACTAATCCTCATCACCTCATCAATACTAATTAGTACATATTGATCCTAATAAGTGTGAGTCCTGTTGGCCACATCTAGGAGTCCATCTCAGTCAGTTTAGAAAGAAGCTCAGTGTTTGTAGCACTTTAATAATCTCTGTGTTCACATATAGAGCGTGCTCATCAGCCTGACGAACATTAGTGCTAAAATAATGCAGTGAATGTGGAATAATTTCAGTGCTGCAGTTACTGACAGTGACCACTGGAGGGCAGTGATCATGCTAGTTTCTCTGGGAGTCCACTTCCATCCAGATGAATGTTTGTGTTGAACACATCACTGTTGGTATCAGCGTGGCTAACAACATCATTTTCAGAGCAGATTTCGAAACTCTGAGCTTTAAATACCCAAAGGAAACAGGAGTGTTGCTCCCACTGAGGATGCCGACGTTTTGTTTCAGAAACCGGAGTTCAGTTTACCTTCTACTTTAGTAGTGATTTTATTGGCTGACTTCAGGATTATTCCTTGTTGCACTTGGAGCAGTCGGACCAGCACGGTGTGGAGCGCGGGATGCTGGGACCCAGAGGAGGATGAGCCAGACCGGTCTAGATCCAGCTCGGCCACAAAGACAGAAAAATCTAAACATCTATAAACCCGCAATAAAACCACCTTTAAACTTCATACCCTGCTTTAAAATCCTAATTCCACCTCTGAATACCAATTTATAACCATCTTAAACATACTAATACCACCTTAAAAACCTTTAAAACATCTTAAACATACTAATGCCATCTAGTATGGAATGGAAATCTCTGTCAGAATAAAGATGCACCTGGATGCAACACTTCGTTTTCATGTCCTTTCATGGAAATCTCCAAAACGAGTCCAAATAGAAAGCAGAACAAAAAGATGTGAGCAGAAAGAAGAAAATGTGAGAGTGAAGCAGACTAAGCTGACTAATGTGACCGTCCTGCTGAAGCAATGAACACTTAACTTAACATCAGCCTGCCCAGGGACTACGGGTGAAAATGAGCTCTTGAGCTAAAACCAGGTACAATGCATCTTCCCCTTTGAGGTTAATGTTTATAGTACGTTGTCCCTGTTTCTCTAAATAAAATAAAAAATATTAAAAAAAACAAAAAAAAACACCCATCCTTTGATAGAAAGTCTACCGAGGTTCCTTTCAAGAAGCAGCAGAGCAGCTGGTGAACACAGTGGAGCGTTTAGCAGCTAAAGAGCAGAAAGGCTTCAAAGAAGAAGGAATACTGGACTCACCTCCATCAGGGGCCACAAACACGACTCCAAATGAAGGAGAATGTTGCTCCAGAACAGCAGCACGTGGAAACCGGCTGCTTCCTAACAAGTCTGTCATCTCATCAAGTTCAAAAGGGATCTGTCAGTGATCAGTGCTGCCCCCAGGTGGCCACCAACACTTAGTGCAGCTTTAAAATGAGGCCTTCTAATGATGCAGTAGACTTCACAGTAGAAGTCTGTACTTTGAGTACTACTACCTCCTTCCCTGGATGGACTCACATGCGTGGCAGTACACCCTAACCTCCCAGTTTCTCTGCTCCCAGTTTCTCTGCTGCTGCTCTGGGGACGACACCTCTACTCACATCAAACTCCCTCCATGGTGGAAGTCTTTCCACTTCCTGTCTGGCCAGAAGCAAAGCGGCAGCCGTCGGAGCCGTCCGATGCGGACTGAACCGGCAGGGAGATCTCTGAAGACCTGAAAGTGACAAAGTCACCATCAGTTTCCTGCTCTGCTGGAAAAATATTCATGTGATGTGGATTTTAAAGACGGCTGGGATTTCTTCATGCTGACTGAAGCTTCTTATATCCATGTGGATATTGTTGGGCTCCTGCTGCGAGGCCTGGGGGCCAAACAGCCGCTCTAAACTAAAGTTAGATCTCTGCTGCCTGTCCGCAGTTTTGCCTGTGTGAGGCTGAAAAGCAGAAAAGGGCAGAATTGACTTTTGTCCTTTTAGATCTGCTGAGAAAACTCAAAGCTAAATGTTGCTTCTTCTTTGGCTTGTGATGACGGGGCGCCGCCCGCCACTTTGACACAGCAACATGTTTGTTATGGTGACATCCAGCTCAAACTCATTTTCACCACGGGCCACATAAGCATTTTGGTTACCCTCAAAGAGCCAGCTGGAACTGTAAGACTGTATAAACATATATTGTAGCCTGCTCCTTCTTCATTATCCTCTATAGTTGTTAGTTACATAATAAATGATTATAAATTGGTACAAAAAATATTTATTTTGCTTGATTCAAACAAAAAGATTTATAAACAAAACTGAAAAGTTATCTGTTTGGGCACCTTCTTACCTTGATGCTAAATTATTTAATTTCAATTAATTTCTAAACTCCTGGAGCAAGTTTTCTGCTCATGTTCAAAACTTTCTGCACATTCAGAATCTCTCCCTCATATCTTTGTTCTCTTATATATCCAGAAGAAAATCGTAATATTATGAGACTAACATCATTATTTAATCTCTTAAAGTCTACCTGACCTATACTCTGCTGTGCTCCCCTTCAGACTTAACTGCACTGCGCACTTCATGCGAGGTACAAACCGAAACCAACACTTGTGATCAGGCAGAAATCTTGGCGCAAATCTTCATGTTAACTTCTGCAGATCCGATAATGTCCAACTCACTGTCCCAAACAGAGCCAAACTGTGCTTCAGGTTTATAATGTTTACAATGC